GGAAGAAGCGTTAAACGAACTCATAGAAGAAAGGTAATGGATATCCTGTGACTTCCTTGGTCTCTGCGAGTCATTATAGCACAAGGAAATGAATGACATCTACAAAAATTACAGTTCGATTTGGTTAGGAAGAGGAGAGATTGCGAAGACCGTAAGAGGAATCAGGTTGGTGGTAAATAAGATCTCGTCCTCAAAAAAGGTCTCCGTCCATGTGAAGTCACCGAGACTGTGCACGTCGTGTTTCCAACTAAACAAAAAAGGGATCGTGAATACCCTTTAAACCTATGCTTCAAATCAGGTAGGCTTTCATCATTGGAGACTTCAATCGTAAGGCCAGACGAGGAAGGGCCGGTGAAAATGTATTTAGGGATACGGCACCAAAGAACAAAGAGAGCGAAAAGATCGACTATTGCCCATGGTAGAATAGAAATACCTGGTTCAGGAAGGAGCATAACATAATTTACACGCGAATGGTGTTCATGCGGTGACGAAGAACGAGTTCGGCTTGTTCTCATTCGATAAACTCGGCATCATGTAAGTCATAGTACTAGTGCCATCGTTTAACATCAGCAGTGAAATAGAAGATCGAGAGGAAGAAGATGGAGCCACGCACCAAGGATCGGTGACCTGGTTAAATGCCCCCTATGCAACTAGAAGAAAGAGCACGAAGCAATGACCCGTAAAGTCTGATCTTGGAGCAGTCATTCATTAGGTGACAACTTAGGTTAGGTGTCTGGCGTACCAACAACTTATGATGCTTATGACGAGTACCAATTCCTGAAATGTCGTTCGTGATGAGCGTGATGTGACTGGCGGATAAAATTATTTCAGATGGATTTGGCACTGCTGACGCTCAAATGCCATGGAGCCGTTGCCTGCTTCAATATCGCCCCCCCCAGGCAACCAGGATCAGGGGGTACGTGATGGGCCGTGACATTTGGCCTTGGAGGAGTCAATGGTTAAGTGTTATACTCATTCTGGCTACCTTATTAATGTGTCAGGATGCTTGGTATCTGTTCAATGAAATGGCCGTTATAAACTCATATATTTGCTGGTTTGCTGGACGACCTCGAATACTGATCGATAGCATTCCTCTGTTGGGGAATTAATACGTAGCGAAATGGAGAGCAGACGTAAGCTTGAAAATTGATTGCTCCTAATAATCCAGCGATATACGGACGATGAGTCGGAGATCAAACACAACAGTAATACGGTAACACGAAATCACCGTGTGACGCCATTGCATGTGCCTTCAATTCAATCTCGTAGAAAGAGGAATCAATGTGACTGAAAATCGAAGAATTAATAAATGCGATATTGAAGGTCTCATAAGTCAAAATATCTACTATGATAAATTTAGTTATTTATTCATTTTCATCCTAATGCTGAAAATGGTTTTTCGTTTTCAATTTTATTCAAATCCTAACTGTAATGCGGGTCTATTCTATTTACGTTTCGAAAATACGGGTTTCTCTATTGAATTTCAGAACCGTGAACACTTGTTACTCTGAAATGAGTAGCTTCAAGTAAGCATCTCTAAGAGGATTATTTTGCGCCACCAGATTTGACTCAACCAACAAATTATGAGCTTTGGCTCTCGCACCATTGAGTTATTGAAGTGCCATATTTTTGTGTTTTTCTAAACGTTCAACGCTTTTCGATGGTCAACCACTGGATTTAAATGCATCGCTTTGTTTATTTCGGTATCATAAAATGCTGCCATTACCATATTAGATTCATAACGCTTTAGAGGGTGACAATGTGTGATTTACCCAGGTGTTTATACTGTCATTATCTAGCCAAACTTAAATGGGGTTTCCAAGTGCATAGAGGTATTATTCTTCCGAGAGGATTTTCTTATTACAGTTGGTATGCAGCGGTTCTGAAGGTACTCAGACGAGAGCACTTTCTATCCGGTTTATGTTCTCCTTTAGGTGGTTTTCTCCAAACAATGTTAGTTGTCGATATTTGGGGT